TATACTTTCTGTCCACTAAATGTCAAGCTTTGTCCATGTGTTGATCACTAGTGACAGACTGTGGTCCATACAAATACGCAACTTGCAATGCACTCAACTACTTTTTGAAAACTACAGATAAACTGGGATTTTGTTAATAACTGAAACAAACAGCTCATCTGATATCGTCATATCAAGGAGCAAATAGGCATGAAGCATAGGAAAACTGCATTTTTTACATAAACCGAACATGAAACGTGGCTTACAACACTACGTTGGATGGCGTAGTGTAATCAGAATAAGCCGCTACACTTCTGTGGCAACGGTTCTCGTGAGTGAAGTATGAGATAATGATAATGAAACAAATCCCTGATGTTTGATGTATTTGGTTTATGCAATGATGATAATGAAATAAATCGCTGATGTTTGATGTATTTGGTTTATGCAATGAGTATTGTTGACAATTGATATATTTGATATTGATATCTGATGTCTACATACGAGTATTGATATATGTGTCTTTGATAATTTTGACTGATATCTTTAGACTGATCTTTCTGCCGAAAAATCAAATTGAAGAGATCGTTGCTTTCAAGACGTTGAGCAAATAGAAACTAAGAGATGTGTTTTTTCTTTCCAGGCATTAACCGTCTTGGCTGTTTACACTTACTATTAGGTGGGATATTTTCATGAGATAAGGTTTATACTACAGTTCTGCGGCAACGGTTCTAGTGAGTGAAGTATGACATGATGATAATGAAACAAATCGCTAATGTTTGATGTATTTGATTTATTTCCTGAATGCCAGACATCTTCAGAACACTGAAAATGAAACGTTCGTACTTCTATATAATTTATCAACATTCGGATTCTGCGCATAACGACGAGATAGATACTGCATTCATGTAGACATATAACTGCGATATTTCATTGAAGGGTGAATGAGACTAAAGAATAGATATATATTTAGAGACTACAAAAATATTTCGTAGTTCACTGAAGCATAAACGAGTCAACTGTGAATGAAATGATCAGCATAAGGGATTCAGACCGAATCGTTTAGTAATAATAGTGAAAACTGAATCTGACAGTTGACAGCTTTACTTGAAGTGGTTCACAGCTGAGCTTTGGATTAGCCCATTTAGTTCGTTGAATATATTCGGCTTACTTCTAATGCCTCACAGGTTCCAAAACCATTCGGAAGCTTCCTAACTGAAAGACATTCGGTTGACTTTCACTTACAGTTTTTCACGAATCTTTCGGTTTGTGAAGTAAACTTCTTATATCATAATTCAAGAGATCGTGAATCGTGAGCGTTGAGCTAAGAATTTCATTTGGTGAAGATTTGGAGATGAGGCTGCATACTTTATTCTAGATCTTATATCAGAAAAACCATCAGATGAAATCACTAACAATAAGAAGATAAGCATTTCAATGAACGCTTTTTAATCATTACCAAGATCATTTTAAAACATGCTTGAAATATGGTTCTAAACGAAACCATAAGTGGTCATCATCAATTAGTACTGCCTGAAATATCTGAGTAAACTACCAGTGCTTAAACAAACAACAGACAGAACTGTGCAAGCACGCATAAATTCTGACGTTGGCAAATTAATGTGAATGTTATTGTGATATGTGGAATGCCTGGTTCAAAAGGAACAACAATATAGTGCAAAAATGAAAAGGAACAATATAGAGAACAGTGGAAATATCGACGAAGAATTTAATACTGATAGAAATTCGACACAACGAGATCAACGAAAGCACTATCTGAATGGGATTTAGCAAGATGATTGTGATATGTACAGGAATGTTCGTAGCGCTCACAGCGCTGCAGAACTCCACTCCGTTTAGAACGGAAATTGCAATGAATATGGCACTTCATCTCTGCCGCTCCCATCATCAGGCTACCAACCGTTAACTTTTTCAGCGCTTTTGCCGAAAAATCCCACGAAAAAAACAAACCATATTTTTTATTGTTTTTTATTGGATTTC